GGTCACCCCACCCCCCACATCACCATATCTCAACGGAGACTCACCTGAGAGCACGAACGGAGACATGGACATAGAGAACGTTACACGAGTGCGCCTGGTTCAGTTCCAGAAAAACACTGATGAACCGATGGTATGAGTTCACACATTTCCTGTACATGTACACATACATATATAAACCTAAAGACTGCATAACATGAACATGACAACAGTTTCTTGTGGTCCACTTTCAAAGTGTGCAAATGCAAGCTCTGCACATCATATATCCTGTGTTTTGAGGCTTGGCACACATCTTGTCACCCTGAGCTGATGGTGGTGTTGATTAATCTCTCACAGTGGTTACATTTTATATCCACTTGTTAGTCAAACTTCCTGAAAGCTTCGTTCTCATCACTGTGGTTTTAAATGAGTTTGTGGGCACTGTTTCAGGGTATCACGTTGAAAATGAACGACCTGAACCATTGCATCGTGGCAAGAATAATGCATGGAGGAATGATCCACAGACAAGGTACATGCACCAGATGGTTTTTCCTTCAAAACTTCACCCAACACTGCCATCTATCTTGTATTTCTCCTTTATCTCCATAAACACATGATGAATTAATAGGAAAGAGATGCAACCCATTATTCTTCACAAACCCCTCAACCCATATTGGGTTGCCACATGTGGCAGGCTTGAGGGCTTGTGCCGTCACCCCGTGATGGTCAGATTGCACAATCTCCTAGAACTTGGCAGAAACGTGATACTGATGTACAAGCCTTTACCCACATGCCACACACACATGCCATCAACAACTATCTCCTACATGCATGCAAGTGGGACAAGCTTATATTAAATCTCATGCAGTTAATGTTGTCAAGTTTTCAATTTATGAAGGTTGTAAGACTAGTGATGTATATTGATGCATTTAAAATGTTGTTTTGTCACAAATTAGGAACTTTGCATGTTGAAGACGAGATCCGGGAGATCAATGGCATAAGTGTAGCAAATCAAACGGTGGAGCAGCTTCAGAAGATGCTTGTGAGTAGGAAC